GCTGAATGTGTACATTGATGACTGAAAGACATCTTCTGCCTCCATTTATCTGTTTACTACAGTGTGTTGAATTCATGTTAATGTGGATTTAAAGACATTTCAATTAATTGAAAAAATTGCAGGGGGAATATAAAAAAAAAGTCTAATCAACCAAAACTTTCGCCAACCCCCATGCAGTACCGCCGTGGACCCCATAGGGGTGACAGACCCCCAGTTGAAGACCTCCGATTTAGAGACTTCATAATGACTATGCAATGCGATGTGCCTTTTTTTTTTTATTATGATTACTTAAAGTACTCTACTGTTTCTATAAAACAACAAGTGTGTGTCAAAGTGATGAATTTATCTTTATTTTAAAAGTCTTAAGTCCCCCTGAAAATGAGAACATCATCATTGTTCGGTGCTTTAGTGCAAGTATCGTCTACATTGCGACCGGTCTAACTAGGGAGTACCAACATGGCGGCCGATGACTTCACTCCACCCAATGGCATAACGACACAACAATAGGCCCATAAGTAAAATTATCTGGGTGGGCCCCATGTGAAGTACAACACGTGATAAAGGTTCAGGATACGGCTACAGTTCCATAAATCTGCCAAGCAGATACAATTCTCAGTAGTATATGATCACACATCACACACAGAAAAATGGAACCATTGGTGACAGTGCACTACCACATGTTACAGCCATCCCAAGTTCCAAAAACTCATTCCAGGGAGATGCTTCTTTCCTTTTTCTTTTCTGGAATCCGCTACTCTCTTTGGTATCCATCGTCACCAATACATTGTACATAACGGTTATGGTTTTAATCTACACTCTGGATTACCTATAATTCCAAGTCGTAGTGTAAAAATACTCAAAAAAAAAAATTCTTTTAAGATCATTACTGCGGTTCGAAACATATTGTATGAGTGTATTTTTTACCAACTGTCTAATGAACTATACACAGTTATTAATGTAGTAATTAAAAGTCCCACTGTCTGCTTTGCTATTGGCTCACCATCATGTTGAAATCTGGTACATGTTGAGGCATAAATATGGTCCAGTCAGTCACTTCAGTATCAGGTGGGTTTAAGAGGAATTTTTTTCACACCATTACATCTGCATACAGATGTCCTAGTCTACAATTGCGTAGGGGGCCACCGAGTGTCATTGATGGGGCCCCTGAGAGGTCAGGGGCCCATAAGCAACTGCTGTCTCTTCTTACTGATATTTATGCCAGTGCTTCAACCCCTGCACTACCAACGGGCTATCAGCAATCCAGTGAATAAATAGAGACAGGGGCGTAGCCAGAACATTTTAATAAGGGTGGCCAGGCATTAACCAATGTACACTGAGGGGCCGAAAGCAGAAGGCACCAGAACCTCAGGGACAATCTACACTGTTCCAACAGGAACATGAAAAAGCACAACATCCATATTTTCTAAATAAAGACAAACTATACTTTCCTAAAGCCTTTGCTAACAAATAGATGCATATATTCAAACATCCGTGCTTTCTAGATAAAAAGTATAGTGGATACAATTCTTTCAGTTTTGAAATCTGTGGCGTAAATCTTTTCTTTTCTCATTACTTACCTACTTCTATCAATAAACATTCTGCATAAAATTGATATTTACAAGCACTAATCTACATAAATTGATAAGTTTTTATTAAAATAGTTATTTATCCACAATTTCACTGGAGACTCCCAGATGACTGCCAGAGACACATTTTCTCTTTACCCCATATAACACAAAATCTAGCTCTGAAAAGAGGATGAAATCTGTATTTATTACCTTTGATGTTAGTATATTTATGTGTATAATTAACCACAAAAATTATAAATGTTTTGAATATTCCAATTTAGAGTATTACCGCTGCCATCATCTGTATTAGAGGGAAATAAATGGTAGGGGTGGCCACAGATTGGCTAAGGGTGGCCATGGCCACCCCTGGGCCCCCCTTCTAGCTCCGCCCCTGAATAGTGCCATAAATATGGAACCCACTCCTATAAAATTACAAATAGCAATTTATAAGGCAAATATAAAGCTTGGGACTCTGTTTGTAGATTATAATAAATAACATATTTTACAGTTCTATCAGTAAATGGCCTATAATAATTACACACTGTAGCTTTAAATAAAAAGGGCATGTTCCTTTATGCAAACTAAATGGTTCACATGGTAGATCACTTAATAAAAAAAGGAAAATAGGGGAAATCTTTTGCTGTATTAGAAAATGCGGTGGAAAAACTGGGATAATCAGTGCCTAAAATAAGACATACATGTTAAACAACTGATTGAATTTTAGATCAATCTAATTTCCAAAATTCCAGAATATAAATAGTCCACAATGAACCCTGCAAAAGAAACATGTCCAGTAGAAGAACTGAAGCAAATAGGTTTAAATGTTGCTAACTGCTGCAGCTGCGCACGTGAGAGAAGAACATGGGGTTTGTAGGACATGCTAACACTGGCTCTGGTTCTCCAATGATAACATTTCAGTTAAGTTTAATAACACCGTGTTTTAAAACAAATGTTTGGTTTAAAACATTGACAAACACGAACGTTTCTAACTTCTTACCATCTCAAGAACCGGTTTCTTTTCGACTTCAGCTGCCATGCTTGAGAGTTTACTGCGCGCTCTGTGGGAATTAAACCCTCATTGTTGTCTGACAGGCAGGAGGAAAGACTACAGGGTCAATTTGATCCGACTTGGTGTTTCACCAATGTTTTCCAAAACAGAACATCGGGGGGAAAAAGGAGTTATTATTACTAATTTATTTCGAAAATATTTATTGGGTGAAGCAGAAACTGTGCAATTTGACTCTCAAAGCATTAAGTTTTACTTGCTATGGCCTACATATCTCAGTTCCACATGATGAGGCCTGTGTCACTGTTTCAAAATAGTTTATTTTAAATAAAGATGCTTAAAACTTAGTTTTAGCGCAGAGTTTGATTGTGGTTACTTTTTTAATTACCGAATTATATTCAATTTTTATGTATATGTTTAACAATAGCATGCAACTCATTCACTGTGACTAACATGTACTATGAGAGGTAATCATAGTAAAACCTGCATTTTTTTTTTATAAAAAAAAAACTATTTTTTTGTCAGCCTCTATTGTCATGGGTTAATTTCAAGAAAACATATCAAAGGTCCCCTAATGCCCCAAACTGAAGGCTGCGCTCCCACAACCAGTTAGTTTGTAAAGAAAGCCCAGGAATTATACATTATGTAACAGAATATTTTACATAATAATTTTATTGGTATTTGTTTTCTATATATCTGTATTTTTTCCTATATTAAACGGATCAGGAGATGTTGGGTTAGGCTACTGTTTTCGGGGGAGGATAAAAAAAAGGGGGAACACGTCCGTTGGGAGAGTTGCGAGTAGAGAAAAGATGTATTCTGCATTCATCAAATAAAAATAGGATTCTTCAACCTATCTGTAGCCCGTCTGTTCCACACCTCGGTAACAAAGAAACATGAACGTGTATAACTTAAAGGGTTACAATTAAATGAAGGCCAGAGCTTGACCAATGGGCTGCTACAGACCAATTATGACGGTTTATTTCCTCTTATGACATCATAAAGGGTAACACTGTCAAACAGAGCATTTTGAGCACACATTAGCTAAGAGGTGGAGAAAGGCAGCGAGAGAGGGGAAAGGCTTTTTTTTCATTTGTGAATCTCATACACAGGTTTCAAGACACATATGACTGTTACAAAATGTTTATAAATTGAATTTAGCATAATATAGTAAAACTACAGTTTTGTATGAGTTCTTGAGTCGCTGTAAATGCAATCAGTCAATATTTTCATTACAAGCCCTTTTTAGTTAATTGGGCAGTGTTTGGTTTCTCTGCCATTTAACTTTATTAATGCAAAATCTTAATTTAAAAAATGTATGTCCCTCCTTTACATTTACAATTATTTTCCTTTTAAGGTTAAAAAAATATTGAAGGTATCCTCACTTGTTTGGTATAAACTCAAATGACACAGAATGGCTTACTTACTACTGAAATGTGGCAGATGTGTGATAATTTCCCTGCTTCTGGGTTTAAATTGCCTACGTTACACTAACCTGAAATGTAAGACAGAGGGCAAAATTACCCAGCGCTTCCTTAACCGTAACGACGGTTGCGCGTGTAAAAAAAAAAGAAACCGTGACTATGTAAATACGTCACAAGTAGAAAAAATGTAGTTTAAACAGTCTGCATGCTGCCTTACAGTCAATGACAGCAAGGGCAAGTATGAACTACAATACCCAGAAATGACTTGAAAGCGTTTCCGGTTCTGTTAATTTGCGAGCAGAAGTCACTCGAAAAGGATTAGCTAGTGTGCTAGCAACAGAAACACTTTCAGATGTAGAAATAAGAGCTGAACGCGGAGCTGAAAGCGTCACCATATAGAGAGGTAATAAGTATATCTGATAGTTGCGTCAGTTCGGTTTTATCTTGTCAAACAATTTATTTCCTCATGTTTTCGAACAACAACAAAGCCCGTAGTGTCCCACCCACCGTTATCAGCTTTTGGTTTTACTTCTTGACATCAGTTACTCAAAACAATGCGGTGGTAATAAGCTTAGAGGCTACTGCTGCTTATATTTCTATGCTCCAGGGCCTGTACTTTTATTTTCAATTTATTTTATTTCCAGTTCGTTTATATATATATATCTTCACCACTAACAACATTGTATCTTGCTTTCTGTTACAGTCAGCAGGTAAACCAGTTAAATCCCCCCTCCCTTCCTCCAGCTGTTGCCATGGCAATCCTTTTTGCTGTGGTGGCTCGTGGAACCACCATCCTGGCCAAGCATGCCTGGTGCGGCGGGAATTTCCTGGAAGTTACGGAACAGATTTTGGCCAAAATTCCTTCAGAGAATAATAAACTGACCTACAGCCACGGCAGGTAAGCCAACTCCCGCTGTGGAATGTAACCATAGGAACATCTGGTGTAGATCTGTCTACCATAGAGAGCTCCTGAGTTGTTTATTTGTATGTAATCTGATCTGATATGTAGTCATGTGAGTCCTAGGCATAATAACTGCTGGAGTCAAGGCTAATATTTTTTTCTCTCTCATAGTTATCTCTTCCATTACATCTGCCATGACCGAATCATCTACCTGTGCATCACAGATGATGTGAGTATATTCTAGATTTTAACATTAAGCATACATTCACAAAACACAAATTAAATCCTCCTTTTTATTGTACACACTGACATTAGCCTAAACCTAGGCTTTGAAACACCTAGCCGATGCAGCTTGAGCACATCATCAGTGAAGGACCCAGGGTCATATGGTGTTTTGGGTCTGATTTTCAGACACCCTCGCCTGGGCGACCCAACAGGGGTTGATCAGGCCCCAATTTGTTGTCTTGCAGCGCTCTATTCCATGCGCCTCCACTCTTGATCCAAAGCCACCTTAAGGCTCTTTCAGCGGCCTCACTGATGTTTCGTCCAACTGCCACAGAGCCAACTAAGACTCTATGTCTCACTTTAAGTATGTTTTGTCTCATGTTTATTTCTTATCTGCCAGGATTTTGAACGATCACGTGCGTTCAGCTTCCTCGGTGAAGTGAAGAAGCGCTTCCAGACTACATATGGGTCCCGAGCGCAAACCGCTCTACCTTATGCCATGAACAGCGAGTTTTCCTCTACACTCGCAGCACAGATGGTATGTAGCTACAAATCCCTTCTCAAAAACAACAATCATTATGAAGACTTTGGTTTGACTTGGCTGCAGTGTTTACCATTACAGCAAAAGAGTTGTGATCAAAGCGCTGATCAGGACTATAAAGTGTTTTATTCAGATCTGATGCTTTAGTTTTATATCTTGCTTGTTTATTTACCTGTAATCCTCCAGTGCATTTTAACCAGCATGTACACCTTAACTAACTAACTACTGTTGTTTATTGTGGAGAATAAATTACCACATCTTTCGAAAGAGATACAGTCTTTGTTTTCCCTTATAGAAAAGAGTGGGGTGTTCAAAAAGTCAGGAATATTGGATAAGGAGTTAGTAAATGATTTGTGATGTACTGTATAAAAAGAGGTCATCTGTTTGGATTTCAAGAGATTTTAATATATCGAAAGGTAAAAAAAAATACTGCTGCCTTTACTTAATATCAATACATTTTATATTAACTGTTTCAAGAGGCACCAAATATAAAAAAAAATCTTGTTGGTCTATTTTGCAGAAACACCACTCAGACCCACGGGGTTCAGATCGTGTGACTGAGACCCAGATGCAAGTTGATGACCTAAAGGGTATCATGGTTCGTGATATTGGTAAGCAGGCCACCTGAGTTTTAAGTCATTAGTAGTAGAGGAGGAGGATGAGTAGTTATTTGTATGAAGTTGCAGGGCCCTGTCAGCCCTGCACGATTT